TATTAACATGGCACAGTCAGGCAAAGTAAAGCTGTTCCAATTCTTGATTTTAGATTTCCAAATCTTGATTCTGTATCTATGCATTTCATTTTTTTCCTGCCTACCTGTAGTATCCTACATTTATATGTTTATTGCTAGCCTCCTTGAGTCCCTATATTGGAGGAAAGACAGGACAAAATAAAATAAAATAAAATAAAATAACCAAACAAAATAACCAAACAAAAAATACAACGCAACGTAATGCAACACAACACAACAATGCAATGCAATGCAATGCAATGCAATGCAATGCAATGCAATGCAATGCAATGCAATGCAATGCAATGCAATGCAATGCAATGCAATGCAATGCAATGCAGTAAGATTTGTTGGTGGGTAGTTGCCCTTGATTTCCTTTGAAACTTGAGAGAATTTACCTCAGTGGATGAATCTCATCCTGTTAAATATGCCCCCTTATTACTCAGTCATTTCTATTCCTACCACTTACCTGTAGGAACCAGAAGCAACCAGGAGACTATAGGATAAAGAAACCAAATGGCCTTCATTATTGAATTTTTTTCCACTCAGCTATCCAGTAGTGTTGCTATTGGTGGTTCTTGGGTTTTGAAGAAGGTGAATTAAAAATGCTGCATTTTTATAGATAACATGGTTGAAGTAAGACTATGGAAACTGGAAACACTGCAGATCCAGTATGCATAACAAATGTCACCACAGTGTCTTTATGCTGCAGTAAGTCAGCAGTTGTTTCTCACAGTACAACTTGCACTGTAGCAATTGCTTTCAAAACTATCCTGGGAATGTTCAATACAATTTAAACAAAGCATGACACAAATTCTGGGCATTCTAATCAAGGATCTGGCTATCTTGCTGCTCTCTGGAATCACTGGGTGTTTGTAGGTTTTTCAGACTGTATGGCCATGCTCTAGAAGCATTCTCTCCTGACATTTCACCTGCATCTATGGCGGGCATCCTCAGAAGTTGTGAGATCTGAAGATGCCCGCCATAGATGCAGGCGAAATGTCAGGACAGATTGCTTCTAGAACATGGCCATACAGCCCAAAAAAACTACAAACACTCGTTTGTATGGTGGTTGGAAAGTTTTGTTTGATGGGGAAAACACTTCACAAGAGGAATTGGTGTTTTATATTGACCAATAGGAGGAAAAGTCCATGGAATATTATAATTGTTGTACATACAAATGCATTGTGCAATCACTTATTTCTCAGATCTAACTACGATCATTGTATGGTTAGCAACTCTGCTATCTAAAATGAAGCTTCAATACTTTGAGAACTTTTGTGTCCTAAACTGGGTCTGCCTGAACATATTCATCAACATACTATCCTCTCTTCTTCTTTTTTTTTTTTTTACCCAAAATCCACATTTACTTTATTTATGTATGGAATTTATGCCCTGTCTTCTGCCTGCCTCTTGTTCAACCTGATCAGCATTTTATCTATTTTTCTGGGATGGATTTATGTTCTGAAATAAAGATAAAAGGAATGACATGTTCTTAAATAAAGATAAAAGTAATGACATGTTTTTGCCTTGCGTACCTTTAAGACCAAAAAGTTTGATAGTCGACATAATATCTGGCTAGTTAGTTCAAAATGTAATTGAATGTCCAATTCATTTAAATGTATTTCCTGCTTGAGGTAGAAACTTTGAACATAATTATTCAATTAACAAACCATCTAGACTGCAACAAAACATAACCAGGGTTCAAAGAGTACAAATTGTTCAGTGAGGAAGAAGAGGTACATTAATGACCAATTACATGAATCCTCATGCCTCTATTGCCCACACATAGAGAACGCATTGTACAATGCCTGTTGCCAAAAGGAAGCCTTCTTTCCTAATCCAAGGCTCCTCTCTGTCTCTGTCCAAGGGTTTTCCAAATATGCCCCTATACCACCAGGCAAAATAAAGAGAAAACCAAATGACTCTGTATAAAAGTGAGTTCTCAGGTTGTCCCATCTATCAGGTCCTTAGGACAGAATGTTTTTGAGTTGAAAGATCAGTATTCCATTTGAACTTTGGTCTTTTGAACAACCTGTGTTGAATCCTACAATTTTGGACGAGTCTTGTTCAAATCCTGTTAGATCAGTGGTTCCCAACCTGTTTTTCACCAGGGACCACTTCATCAAGGACCACTTGACCAGGGACCACTTTGACCAGGAACCACATTGACCAGGGACCACTCTCTAACATTTGTACCAAAAGCATTACTAATCAGTTTTTGGTCAACATTAGATTCGGTTTGGTTATTTGGGGTGCTGATTCAGAAAATTGCATTGGATAGATCACATCAGCTCTAGTTTCTGATACAGAACATTTTTCATCCAGTAGTCACCATCTGCTAGCCCACAGAAAACCATATTTAATAATCTAGATCTGCGGACCTTATTCAAGAGAGGAGACTCCATGAACATGAGGAAGAACGTCCTGACTGTGCGAGCCATTCAGCAGTGGAACTCTCTACCCTGGAGTGTGGTGGAGACTCCTTCTTTGGAAGCCTTTAAACAGAGGCTAGATGGCCATCTGTCAGGGGTGATTTGAATGCAATATTCCTGCTTCTTGGCAGGGGGTTGGACTGGATGGCCCATGAGGTCTCTTCCAACTCTTTGATTCTATGATTCTAAGGTCTTGCGACCCACAGGTTGGGAACCACTGTGTTAAAGACTTGATTGCTTTCCACCTTTATATCAATGTATTTCACTAGGTAATAATCTCTGTTCATTTCAGGTTCTGATGAGGATCAATACTTTGAGAAGCATCTGATTGATCTGGGTATTATTGAAAACCAGTAATCTTGGTTTCTGAGAGCCAATATAGTATAATGGTTTGATCATTGGTCTATGGTTATGGGGACCACATTTTGATTTCCCAGTCAGGCATGGAAAACCATCTTGGATGAGTCACACACTCTTAACCCCAGAAAACTCAATGATACGGTCACGATAGGATCACCATCAGTCAGAAACAATGTGAAGACACACAATAACAACTCTTTGATTTTGAGGTTATGTACTTTCCAGTCACTCTCTTCAGGTGGGAAGGAATGAAGAGAGTGATGTGTGACCTGACAAATAAAGACAGTTAACTTATAATTGGTGAATTTTATGGCAAGTGTTGTAGCTTTCAGGTCCCATCAAGTTTAGTTTTCATTACCAAATACTAAAGAATTATGGGAGTTGTCCTACAATATCTGGAGGATGACATGTTGGCCATCTCTCATTTTATGGATTCTGCGTGAGAGGAGATGTTGGAATAGAAGCAGTAAATCAAGAATACGTATGTGGAACAAATAACTTTGGTTAGTGTCTTCTTTAATTTTTTAAATCTTGAATGTTCCATTCTGTATATGTTTTGGATTTTTGTCATGAGCTAGTACAATAAATATATTGATAGAAGGGAAAACTATGGTACAAATAGCATTGGATGCCAAATATTTTCTGTAATTTAGGTTCCAGGTTCAGGAAACAGGGTGCAGTTTCCTAGAACCTTCCAGGTGTCACATATAATGCCAAAAAAGGTCAAATAATCTATCTATCCACACAATAAAATGGAAAATGTGTGTATGTGGTAGAGGTGTCCACTTACACAAACAGCCTCCCACCTCCACAAACAGGCTGTAGTTCTAAGTGCTGAGAAGCCTCCAAAGGCACTCCCTCAAATGACATTCCAGTTAGAGCGAGCGCCATGAACATGTAGCCCAAATGCTGCCAATATCCTCCCCAAACACCAACCACCCATGCTTTCATTTTAGGACCATTTCATCCTAGATCTGTGTTTTTTCTCCAGAATGGACATCCCAGAGTTTCTTTCTCTCTCCATATTTGCATGACACCGCCCACTGCTTCTCACTTAACCCTTTCCTACCCATTCCTATGGCACATAGCAAACAGGAATTGATTAGCAACTGAACAAGAGATTTGGGAAGAATTCACCATGATTTAGAGGAGTTGTAGTTCACCTACATCCAGAGAGAACTGTGAACCCTCTGGCCCTTGCACCTCTCATTATGAAGGACAACTTTCAATCCAATTGGCAAAGGGAGATAGTATGCAAAATTGTGTCTCGGGGTCTATCCCCAGAATTACCAACCAATGATGGATCTGGACCACACTTGCCATGAATGATGGGATTTGCAGTACCTTCACTCAGTTTCAGAGACCACTGCAATGCCCGTTTTGGGGGGGGGGATGACCCACCCATATGGGAGTTGTAGTTCACTGTGCATCTAGGGATATTACCAAACTTCCCAAAACAAACAATGTCTTTCTCAAGTAACCTGTGCATTGCTGGGTCCCCAGGCTAGTGAAAAATAAAATAGAAACCAAAATGGGAAGAATTCACTTCTATTTTTTTTTTCAAAAAATCTTAAATTATTAGGGAGCCTCATCATCCTACTTAAAAATAAACTTCCAAAAAAGGGCATGGGGTGGGGGGTGGGGGGGGGGGTCTAGTGTTCCAAGATTTTGCTTTTTGATTATAAATACTTGCTTTAATTAACAAAATAACTAATCCGAATATACAAGATCAAAGTTCTTCATGGTGCAGCTGTAATAAAAAGTAGTAATTGGCAAAAAAAAAAAATCCTCAAGATAATTATGAAAAAGGAGTTGTATGGTGGTTGGAAGGTTTGGTTTAAGAACCAAAGTGGAAAACACCTTCATGAGAAGAATTGACAAATAGGAGGAAAAGTCCACGGAATATTATTGAATTGTTTTACATACAAAAGCATTGTGCAATCACTTATTTCTCAGATCTAACTATGCCCATTGTATGGTTAGCAACTCTGTTATCTTTGAGGGAAGTTGAGGGAGAGGCCAAAATGGACTTTTGTGGCAAATAAACTGGGGGGGGGGGGAGAGAGATAGGGTCCTTGGAGCTGAGCCTTGCCTTCCCCTATCTAACAAACAGAAAGCAAATTCATTTTCTTTTCATAGACACAAGTGGCTGCATGTTCAAGCAAAAACTGGCAGAGAAAAAACATGTTTTGATCATCTATTATCTATTTATTTCAGATATTACATGTGTTCTTAGGAAAATTAAATTGATGACTCCATCAGTTGTGCATGAATTTGACTCCACTGTAACCTCTTCTCTGTGTCAGTTGGCAGGAAGTTGGTTTGGCATTGAAGACAATAATTCTTGCTTAACTGTTCTTCCATTTCAGTAATTTCTGTAGAAAGAGAACAGCTTTGTATTCACAGTTTTAGTAACCTTCCATCCAAGCACCTAACAGAACTGATTATTATTATTATTATTATTAACTTTATTTGTACCCCGCTAGCATCTCCCGAAGGACTCGATGCGGCTCACATAGGCCGAAGCCTCAAAACACAATACAACACATCATAACACAACAATAAAACAGGAGCAAATCAAAATAATTAAGCAATAACAACAACAGTAACAATACGTCGGACACTTTAAAACTGGGCCGGCCAGAGCAATGGGTACAAGGTTAAAAGTGCTGAGATAAGCACTTTTAAATAAGTGCGGTGTGCAGCGATCTTTATTCTACTAAAGTGCTTCTAGGACTTGGTGATGGGGAATTCCTAATCTGAGAAGGCACAACGGAGCAGCCAGGTTTTTAGGTTCTTTCTGAAAACTGCCAGAGTAGGGGCCTGTCTAAGATCTTCTGGGAGGGCGTTCCAAAGTCGGGGGCCGCCACAGAAAAGGCCCTGTCCCGTGTCCCCACCAAGCGCGCTTGCGACGTGGGTGGGATCACGAGCAGGGCCTCCCCAGATGATCGAAGTGAGCGTGTGGGTTCGTAGGTGGAGATGCGGTCATGCAGGTAGGGTGGTCCCAAACCGTTCAGGGCTTTGTAGGTGAGCACCTGCACCTTAAATTGGGCTCGGAAAATAAATGGCAGCCAGTGGAGCTCCTTAAACAGAGGGGTAGACCTCTCTCGATAATGAGCCCCAGTTAGCATCCTGGCTGCTGCCCGCTGGACCAATTGGAGTTTCCGAGCCGTTTTCAAGGGCAGCCCTACGTAGAGCGCATTGCAGTAATCCATTCTAGAGGTGACCAAGGCATGGACCACCCCGGCCAGATCAGCCTTCGCGAGGTACGGGCGCAGCTGGCGCACAAGTCTCAATTGTGCAAAGGCCCTCCCGGATACCGCCGACACCTGAGCCTCAAGTGTGAGCGATGAGTCCAAGAGGACACCCAAACTGCGGACCTGTGGCTTCAGGGGGAGTGTAACCCCGTCCAACACAGGTAGCCACCCTATACCCCGATCCGGTTTGCGATCGACCAGGAGGACCTCTGTCTTGTCAGGATTGATCTTCAGCTTGTTCCTCCTCATCCAGATCGACACAGCGGCCAGGCACTCGTCCAGCACTCGAGAAGCCTCCTTGGAAGTAGATGGAAAGGAGTAGTAGAGTTGTGCGTCATCTGCATAGAGATGGCACCCAACTCCAAAACTCCGGATGACCTCTCCTAACTGATCCCTCTGTAGTTTTCCACTCAGAGGATATCTGGGGCCTTCAGGCAATTTAAGCTATACATTGAAGTACCGTATATACTGGAGTATAAGCCGACCTGAATATAAGCCAAGGCACCTATTTTCACCACCAAAAACTGGGAAAACGGATTGACTCGACTATAAGCCGAGGGTGGGAAATGCAACAGCTACTGGTAAATTTCAAAATGCAAATAGACCCCAATAAAATAACATGAATTGAGGCATCCGGAGGTTAAATGCTTTTGAATATTTACATGAAACTGTAATTTAAGATAAGACTGTCCAACTCTGCTTAAACCATTATTCTAACCTTCTTCAGTGTAAATGTGCCTTCATATCCTTCCAATAATAATGAGAATAAAATAATACATGCAATAATAATAATAATAGATAAAATAATGGAAATGTAATAATAACAGTAATAATAGAGTAAAATAATAAATGTAATAATAGAGTAAAATAATGGAAATGTAATGATAACAATAATAAAGAGAGTAAAATGATAAATGTAATAATTTTTTTTGTCGAGTCAGGAGCGACTTGAGAAACTGCAAGTCGCTTCTGGTGTGAGAGAATTGGCCGTCTGCAAGGACGTTGCCCAGGGGATGCCCGGATGATTTTTGATGTTTTTATCATCCTTGTGGGAGACTTCTCTTATGTCCCCGCTTGGGGAGCTGGAGCTGACAGAGGGAGCTCATCTGCCTCTCCCTGGATTCAAACCTGCGACCTGTCGGTCTTCAGTCTGGCCGGCACAGGGGTTTAACCCACTGCGCCACCGGGGGATCCTAATGTAATAATAATAATAATAATAATAATAATAATAATAATAATAAAGTAAAATAATAAATAAACTTGAGTCGAGTATAAGCCGGGGGAGATTTTTTCAGCCTTAAAAAAGGGCTCAAAAACTAGGCTTATACTCGAGCATATAAGGCAATCTAATTAATTTAAGTGTGGCTGATCCATTGATCAATGTGGCTGATCCATTGATTGTTAAAGCAGTTCTAGAAATGACAGTAGCAATCATTTCTGGGTGTTAGTAATTTTACTTCTAAAATATTTTTTCTTTTTCTTAAGAAATCAATATCATTTTTGGTGGCTGGAGAAAACCATTATAAGACCTTGTTTATTCCATTACAAGACACCTAATTTTCAGAATACTGTACTGTCGAAGGCTTTCATGGCTGGAATCACTAGGTTCTTGTGGGTTTTTCCGGGCTATAGAGCCATGTTCTAGAGACATTTTTCCTGACGTTTCGCCTGCATCTATGGCAAGCATCCTCAGAGGTACCTCACTACCTCTGAGGATGCTTGCCATAGATGCAGGCGAAACGTCAGGAGAAATGCCTCTAGAACATGGCTCTATAGCCCGGAAAAACCCACAAGAACCTAGTTTCAGGATACTGTTTCATATACAAATAGGAGTAAACAATGATACGAAAATGGGAATGCATGTTCAATTTGGGTGTTTCTTGTTGCTAGAAGGCAATCTATCTTACCCTGAGCAGCAATAATCCCCTGCTTCTCCACATGTTCCAACTTCCATGGGTCCAATCTGGCAAGGTTCATCTCTGCACCAACCTTCAGCCTTTTCACATTCCTCAGGAGTATCTATGTCACTCTGAGCATTACCTCCTGCAAAGAGCAATTAAGGAGGGAATTGTGAGTCATCCCACTGTGCTGTTGAACGTGGGATAGTACAACACTGTGAACCACCCTGAGTCCCCTTCAGGATTGAGAAGGGTGGTATACAAATACTGCAAATCTATATAAATAAAAATGTAATGTTAGTTTGTGGGATTAACATAACTCAAAAACTACTGGACGAATTAACACCAAATTTGGACACAATACACCTATCAGGCCAATGAGTGACCATCACTCATAAAACACTGAAAAGCACAGCAGAAGGTACTTAAATACAAAAAGCAAAAAGATGCTATAGTGCATGCGCAAAAATGACTCTCTCAGCAAACAAAATACACAGTAGCATATCCACACTCTCTTCCAGACTACGGCTCCTAGCATCCCCTAGACCAGGCCCTTTAGTAGAGGAGGATGATCCAAATGCACTGCTTCCAAGATGCACGCTTGGATTTCGTTGAAAGCATCCCAATCCCTGGATATTTCCAATTTCTTATTCCTGGACTGCAACTCCCAGCAATCCTCCAGATAGAGAGAGTAGATAGAGATAGATGGATAGATAGATAGATAGATAGAGATGATAGATAGATAGATAGATGATAGATAGATAGATAGATAGATAGATAGATAGATAGATAGATAGATAGATAGATAGACAGATAGATGGATAGATAGATCAGGCAGACTGCTGGAAGTTGTAGTCCAAGAATAGGTAGAGAAGGAAGATCGGGGAGAAAGAGGAAGTGAAAGAAAAGGGGGGAAGAATGGGAAGAGGAAGAGAAGGAAGGAAGGTGTGAAGGAAAGAAAAAAAGGGAAGGAGAGAAAGAGGGAGGGAAGGCTGGCCACAGCAACGCATGGTGGATACAGCTAGTAAATATTTATCGTGTCATCCGCAACCAGAACATTGTATTATATTTCTAACAGAACAAAACAAACAAACAGATAAAAAAAAACACAAATTTTGCAAACTTGGTAGCTGATTAAATGTCCTTTGACCAGTATCTGGCCACTTGGAGTGCTTCTGGTGTTGCTGCAAGAAGGTCCTCCATTGTGGATGTGGCAGGGCTCAGGTTGCATTGCAGCAGGTGGTCAGTGGTTTGCTCTTCTCCACACTCGCATGTCGTGGATTCCACTTTGTAGCCCCATTTCTTAAGATTGGCTCTGCATCTCGTGGTGCCAGAGCGCAGTCTGTTCAGCGCCTTCCAAGTCACCCAGTCTTTTGTGTGCCCAGGTGGGAGTCTCTCATCTGGTATCACCCACGGATTGAGGTGCTGGGTTTGGGCCTGCCACTTTTGAACTCTCGCATGCTGAGGTGATCCAGCGAGTGCCTCTGTAGATCTAAGAAAACTATTTCTTGATTTAAGTCGTTGACATGCTGGCTGATATAATAGTACTATGTATCTCATCCCTAGGAGTGTATTATTTGGACTGAAAGAAATCTTAAATTTGGAAGGACCCTTAAGGGCCATCTATTCCAACTCCTACCATGCAATAACACTCACTCATTCTTGAAAGATACCCATCCAACCATTGTTTAAAGATCTCCAAAAGTGGGGAAGCAACCACCCCCTAAGGTGTTTTATTCCACATGCAGTTCTTCATCTTTTGGTAGAATATCTTTTGCCATCTAACCCACCAAAAAAGAAGAAGAAGAGATAACACAACAGGTACAGGTTAAATTATGGGCAACTTTATTGAATGTTTCCTAATTAAACTTTGTAACTTGTAACTTGCAGCTAATTCTAACGTGTTGTATGAATTTATTGTGGAATGAAGCCGAGGTAGTGGTCCTTCCTGACCTATCCTTTGGCCCAATTTGGGTGAAACACCAGGTCCCTGGCTAAACTAATCTTAATTGACCTTTAAGGGAAATGTGACAGAGAATTCTGCCCCAAGGATTAATTGAGGTCGGAATCTCCCATTCCTAGGCCATTTCCTATCGCTCTCACCTGGATTATTTAAACCACAGGTGAGGGTTTCCATTCCTGACCTACACACAAAGGAAGTGCCTTGGTATACACCAAAATGTATACCTTACTGTTTCTGATATAGCCTGTTTAAGCCACCACAACTTCCAAAGTTGCCCTTTGAAACAGTGTAGGGTAAACCCCCCCTAGGACATGGGGGGGGGGGGTTTCCTCCCCGTCTGTCATTGGCAACCAAGGAATTACACTGTTAGTGGATGAGAGGGTGGGTCAATTTCTTCTTGTAGAATGAACAAAGGGGCAGAATGCTAACCTCTGTAGCTCTGCCCCCCAGAAAGTAGATATGGCTGGATCTACTTTCTGCTGCATTCTTTACTGGCAGAGGTGGCAAAGCTGTGTGGGGGAGGAAAGTTGATTCTTCTAATCTGAAACCATATGATTTGGGACATATCTTCATGATCGCATTTCCTCTATGAACTGGTGCTAACTTTAAGATCTTCTTTCTCCCTTGGAAAGTATGAGACAAAGCCAGGATTGTCCATGTTTCCAATTTCTGAGTATAATTGTGAAAGCTGGACGCTACAATGAAGAAGAAAATAACTTATAGGAAGAAAATAATTTCAAATGTGATGCTGAAGGACATTTCTATAAATGCTGTGCACTGATAAAAACACAATGAGTCGCAAACATAATGTATGCCTTACCTGGAGAAAACAAGAGCATCCAGGAAAAGAAAGCAAGAAAGGAGACAAATATCCGCATGGTTCAAGTTTGATACAGATTTCAACGAGTACAGCAAAAGAGAAACGGTAGATTTTTACAAAGGTTGTATGTCATCTGATATGGTGAACTTTCTACTATTTATATAGCTGATCAATACATAAAATTTGGGTCTTAATGTTCCTGATGAAATGTATAATTATAGAAATCCCCAAGGGGTTATTGTTCAAGAAGACATAGAGTGCCAGCCAAAGAAAATAGAATGGGGTACATTATGTCCTGTGAAAAAGAACTAGGGGTCATAGTAAACTACAAACTTCACTTGAATCAACAGTATACTGTGGGGGACAAAATGATAATAAAAAAAATTAATATCTCAATATAAGTATGGGTTCCAGATCAAAGGAAGTAATTATGCCACTCTGTTCTGATTTATTCAGAACTCATCAGCAAGGAAGGAGGAAGGGAGGGAGGGAAGAAAGGAAGGTTGGTTGGTTGGTTGGTTTTCAAACCTTGCCTTGTGATATATCACATTTACCATGAAATAGAAAAGGAAGTGGGGGATGGAGTATGTTAAGAAAAAAGGTGACAAAAATCATCAAAGTTTTGGAAAGCAAGCTTTATGAGGAATGACCAATGGAACTGGGCTTGTTTAGCTTGGAGAAGAGCAATTGGGAGTTGACAGGTTCACTGTCATTAACTTGGCAGATAAAAACATGATTGCAAAGCTCTACAGCATAACCAGATTCTTCACTCTGGGTTGTATCAGAAATAATTATTTGTTTTTAATGTCATATCATAGATATTGTTTTACATTGTAGGGCAAACATTCAGTTCTCTGGAGTTGTTGTGAGGTCTAAAGCAGCCCTTAATCTTTTCTGATATGGGGAATAGGGATGGTTAGGTCCAGCCTGAATCTTCGTAACTCGGATTAAATTCAGATTTAATTCCTTTTTGAAGCGATTTTGGAACCAGGAAGTATCCTTGCCATTTCGAATCCACTGTCACCACGACTCAGGAACTGATTCGGAAAAGACCCAGCATTTGGAGGCAAGCAGCAGCTTGCATGCTGGGATGCTTGCCTCCAGCCAATGAGGAGAAATCATGTGGGGAGGGGCGAGGTGGGGTTTCGGCAAGGTTCGAGCCAGGGACGTGAAGGGAAAAGGATTAGGGCAGGCTGCTTGGGTGGGAAAGGTGCCATGCCACTGCGTAGTAAGGGAACAACAGGGTTGGGAACAACTACTTTCCTTGGGGAACCAGACCATAAAGGTTTGCAGCCCTCCTTTCTCTGCCTAGGGTTACACATTGTTATTTTGGAAACTAGAAATCTCCTAATCTAATATTTTCCTTGGGGAGCCAGACCATAAAAGTTTGCAGCCCTCCTTTCTCTTCCTTGGGGTTACACGTTGTTGTTTTTTAAAACTAGAAATCTCCTAATCCAGTGAGGCTTCCCTGCAACCGTGCATCTCCATTTCTCCAAGAAGAAGCAGAAAGGAAAACCATACACTTGGTATGATCATGTCTGTTATTCCTGCTGTTTTTGTCCCTTCCATTCTCCTCTTTCCTTATCTCTCTTCCTTTCCCCTTTCCTTTTCTCCTCCAAATCCAGCCTGTTCAGGAAAACATGGGGGGGGGGGGATCCCTGGGTATGTTTAAAGTGGCATACATTTTTTTTCTGGAAACTGACAAAATAAACTGAAATGAAGGAATAAAGGCGATGTGGCCAAGTGAGTTTTGTAGGACAAACAGTGTAAATCCCCCCTCTGTATATATATTAAAAAAAAAAGGGGGGGGGGAGTACATATGTCCTTGGAAACTCACTTGGCAACTTGATTTTTCTGGGGGAGAAAACTCCATGTTTTCCTGAACGGGTCGGGATTTGGAGGAGAAAAGGAAAGGGGAAAGGAAGAGAGATAAAGAAAGAGGAGAAGGGAAGGGAGAAAAACAGCAGGAAAAAAACGTCATTTAAAACCAGGGTGGGTGGAATCCTTTCCTCTCCTTTCTCTCCCGTGTTAGTTTAAACCAGTGTGGATGGGATGGATCTGCATCAGTTTAAACCAGTGTGGATGGGATGGATCTGCATCAATTTAAACCAGTGTGGATGGGATGTATCTGTATCAGTTTAAACCAGTGTGGGTGGGATGGATCTGCATCAGTTTAAACCAGTGTGGATGGATTCCTTTCTTTTCCTTTCTCTCCCATGTCAGATTAAACCAGTGTGGATGGTTTCCTTTCCCAGGGGTTTTAACCAGAGTGAATGGATTTCTTCCCTTTGCTCCCCCTCCCCTTTCTGGAGTAAAACAACTACTTTCAAAGTAAAGACCACCCAATGAAACAGGAAATAAAACTTTGAAACCTTTAACGAAGGATTCAGAGGTCTCAGAAGTTTTGAAAAGTTTCAAACTTCTTTTCTGTGAAAATCGGAATTGATTTTAGATCCAAACCACCAGTGCCCCCTACATCCAAAATGAATTTTGAACCTTTTTTTTGGATCAAACAAGCCTAATGGGGAACTAGAAGGGTTTTTCTCCCCTAATGCGCCATGAAGTAGCACAACATTTTTATAGTTGGCTAATTTTGATTTCTTGAAAACTTGCTGAAAACTGACAGTCAATGACTTGTGAATCAGTACCAGTCCAAGGATTCGATTTTTGCACGTCTCCATTCTAAATCATGCTGTCTAATGTAGGGGGATAGACTATTATTATTTTTACATTAGTGTCAGGGACCAGTACCATGTTTGTATTTGTTAGTTATAATGGTTCTGTGACCCTGGAAGGTTGACTGTACAAACCTCCACCATGCCCTGAATTGAATGGCTAAAATGAAAGATTAGAATGAAAGAGCTCATTTTTAACATTTATGAGAAATGTTGGGGTATTTTTCTCAATTGTGCACACACAGAGGAAATAATTATCAAGGTTTCTGCCTTTTTAATATTGCGTTGTTCTTGCAGCTGTTGTTGTGTGCCTTCCAGTCATTTCTACTCTATGCTATCCCTAAGACAAGCCATGGTATTCCCTGTAGTAACCTACGGATGTGAGAGCTGGACCTTAGGGAAGGCTGAGCAAAGGAAGATCGATGCTTTTGAGCTGTGGTGTTGGAGGAAAGTTCTGAGAGTGCCTTGGACTGCGAGAAGATCCAACCAGTCCATCCTCCAGGAAATAAAGCCCGGCTGCTCATTAGAGGGAAGGAGACAGAGTGGAAGTACTTTGGCCACATCATGAGGAGACAGCAAAGCCTAGAGAAGACAATTATGCTGGGGAAAGTGGAAGGTAAAAAGAAGAGGGGCCGACCAAGGGCAAGATGGATGGATGGCATCCTTGAAGTGACTGGACTAACCTTGAAGGAGCTGGGGGTGGTGACGGCCGACAGGGAGCTCTGACGTGGGCTGGTCCATGAGGTCACGAAGAGTCGGAGATGACTGAACGAATGAACAACAACATCCCTAAGACAAACCTATCATAAGATTTTCCTGGCAGGATTTCCCCAGAGGAGGTATGCCTTTACCTTCCTCTGAGGGTGACAGAATGAAACTTGACCAATCAACCTCAGAGGAAGGGAAAGACAAATCTACCCTAGTGGGGCTTCGATGATTGAGCAGGGATTCAATTTCTAGATTGCAGACTCATCATCCAATGCTCAAACCACTACACACATTGATGTGATTGTGCAGTATAAGTGATTTCACTAAATTCTACACAAATTAAAAGAACAACTGGGTTGTTGTAGGTTTTTTCGAGCTATATGGCCATGTTCCAGAGGCATTTCTCCTGACGTTTCGCCTGCATCTATGGCAAGCATCCTCAGAGGTAGTGAGGTCTGTTGGAACTAGGACAAAGGGTTTATATATCTGTGGAATGACCAGGGTGGGACAAAGGACTCTTGACTGCTGGAGCCAGCCCGAAAAAACCTACAACCCAGTGATTCTGGCCATGAAAGCCTTCGACAATAAAATAACAACATTCCTACTCCTTTTTCATCCAATGCTTCAATAGATGAACCTGGTTTTCTACACTCATGAAAAATAATTCAGTGGAAACAATGTCTTATTACAAAAAGGTTTTGTAGCATATTCATAGAATCATTGTGGTTCAGTGGTTGACCCAGGAGGGCATGTAGCCTCCCCCCCCCCCGTCCAGGGTTTTGAGTGGGTGGGGTGCCACAATTCTGGGAGGAACTGGGATAAAATATACAAGTTCTTCCCGGGAATTAGGCTATAGGAGTTCAGCCTGTGGTTGTCTCTGTGCTTCAGGAATATGATTATGTTCAGGACTAGGGCTGTCCAACCACGGAAGAATTTGTTTCTAAACTCAATTCGTTTTTAGGCGGTTTTTGCGTTTCGTTATTTAAAAGAATTCCGAAATTTTTCTTTAAAAAAGGTCGATATTTACGAAATTTCGGAAATTACGAAACAATTTCGAAACAATAACGAATCGATTCGTTAGTGGCGAGCGCGATTGCGCAATATGCTAAAAAACCCTCCAAATGGGACAGGGGAACTTCTGAAGCTTCCCTCTCCCTCTGTTGTTGACTGTTGGTGTGATAATTTATTTTTTTATCACTGATAAAACAAACAGCAACTATAAAACTTGCACCAGACATACGGAAATAATAACGAAACAATTACGAAATAAATTTTAAAATTTCGTTTCGATTTTAAGTTGCTCCTGAATGGTTCAATATCGCTTCGTTATCAAAAAAATTACCAATTAATAACGAATTACGAAATTAACAAACGAAACCGCCCAGCCCTATTCAGGACCCCTCAGAGCAGAACCCTTCAGAGGTTCCCATGTTTGATTTTAATGATCAGGGTTCTGTAGATTCTCAATGGTTGGTGAATGCAGAAGATGGCCTAGAAAATACAGTTATCCAGAGTGATTTGAAGGATTCTGGGATTGCTGTTTCCCAAGGCAGAGATGTTTTGAGACAGCCTGATGTGAAACATCTTGAAGCTGAAGAGTCAAGATTAGATAAGGAAAGTGAAAGGAATGTGTTAAGGAGCAACCCGAAGGAGGCAATCTTTGATTAAAAAGGGCAGATTTATCATGATTGCCACTTGGACCAGGGGAAAGGCACTTTGCTAGGAT